ATTTTCCTTTCTGAAGATAGCGTCGAAGTTCTTCCTTTAGGAATGTGAGAGACATTTGACTTTCCAACTAATGATGCAGAGTCATTTGCAAACCCTGGAGAAATAAAAGGTCTAGATGCTGGATGGCTACTCTTTTAGGTTTGGGTGTTGATCCCATCTCATGCCAGCTTAATTTTGATGCATTTATGTAGTGTTCCATATTTTCCAGGAAGTTACAGTGAGCTGTAGCAGGTGACCTGAAATATCTGTATTGTTTGTGCTCCTTGAACCAGGCAGGCAGTGTGACATAGTATATTCAGTCTGGATGTACAGTTCAAATATTTGTCCCAAAGTGTGGTGTGGATAAATCTATCTTAGATTGACCTTTGGCTATGCAGGCAGAATCCATTTCAGGGCTGGGGAGCAGTCTGTACAGAAAATGCAAATGTTAAAAAAAAAAAAAATTGGCAGAGATTATAAAGTTTGAACTATTGGTGGAGCGAGGCCAGTGCATATGCCTTGCGTATAAGCAGCTTTCCTCTCTCTATTCTCCCACATCGAGGAAAGACATTTTTGGATTTCTTTATTAACATAAAACTGGGAATATTTAGGTAAACATACATTTTAATATTTTGATAGTTTTTTTACAAGGAGAGAAATTTGTCCCTAGTTATGAACTAAATACATAATCTGAGGCAACAGGCTGCCTCTGTACATATTCTGAATGCTAAATACATTAACGAAACATGAGGACCCATTTATACGTTGCTAATTTCATGCATGCATGACTTGCTTTTCAGAATAGGAGTGGCATAATTTCTACCCTTTGGAAGTACTTTGTGCATTCTGGGTCTCACCCTTCCCTCCAACAACTTATTTTATTCTATCACTGTGTGAATATGTAGAGATACTAGTTCTCAGAAAAAGAAGAGAGTAGCAGCACTGAGGGTGGAATGACTCATCCTAAAAATGTGATGCCTAAATTTTAGGTTGTTCGGCCATTCTTGAAGTTTTAAAGTTTCATTTCATGAAGATTTGCCTGGCAGTAGTAAAGTGATATTTGAGGAATAGTTTCACAAGCCAAAGTCAGTCTCAGCTTTACCTTCACTAGATCAAGATCTCATTGAAGGAGATGTGCTACCACCTGAAGCTACCATTTTCTAAGCCTATTATCTATTTTCTATCTATGGAACTGCCCAATTCTTTTCTCATAGCCAAACGTATGGTCAGATTTCTATCACTTGGCTGAAAATTTTAACTTGGCGTTCAGTTAAATGCAGCATTTCCATAATATAGTAGTAGTTTTGGAATGAATCAAAACTAGCTACTCTGCTAGATAATATCTCTCTCTCTAGATAATGGCAGACTCATAAGAATAACTATTAGCTCAGACCCTTATTTCCAAAAACCACACAACCACAACAGGAGAAAGCTGGGGCCTGGCATAAACCATACTGGCTTGATGATGGTGACATGGGAATACAGTCATGTGAAAAAGTAAGTACATCCCATGTAAGTTTTTCTCTTTTTTAACATATGTGGACATTTTTTGTTGTTCAGTCGTTAAGTCGTGTCCGACTCTTCGTGACCCCATGAACCATATCGCGCCAGGCCTTCCTGTCCTTCACTGCCTCCCTGAGTTTGCTCAGTTTTATGTGGACATACCAATATTTTATCTTAATTCAAGCAGTATATGAAGATAAAGGTGATGTAATTGAAAACTATGTAAGAAAAATTGACTTTGCAATAATTTATTCCACAAAAATTAATAGTTATGCCATTTCCTTTTGTGGGAAAAGTAAGTATACCCTTGGCTCTAAGACCTGGTATTACCTCCTTTGGCAGAAACAACCTCAAGTAGGCATTTCTTATAACCGTCTGCCAGTCTCTGACATCGACTGGGACAATTTTTTTCCCACTCCTCCGTGCAGAACTTTTTCAGCAATGCCATGCTGGAGGGGGGTTTTTTTGCATGTACACCCTGTTTCAGTTCACCCCACATCATCTCCATGGGATTTAGATCCGGGCTTTCACTTGGCCATTCCAGAACCCTCCATTTCTTTCTTTTTCAGCCATTACTTGGTGAATTTACAGGAATGTTTAGGGTTATTTCATGTTGCAAGGTCCACTTTTGGTTGAGCTCTGGTCTTCTGATAGATGGTCTCACATTATCCGCAGTCACCCTCTGGTACAATGAAGAACCCATAGTGGCTTCTGTGATGGTGAGATGCCCAGGCCCTGATGCAGCAGAACAGCCCCAAACCATAACATTTCCATCACCATCTTTACAGTTGGTATCAGGTTCTTCTGTTGAAATGCTGTCTTTGGTTTCCACCAAACATGTCTTCAGGTCCTGTGGCCAAATGACCCTATCTTTGCCTCATCTGTCCAAAGCACATTGTTCCAGAAGTCCTGGTCTTTGCCTAGGTGTTCATGAGCAAACTTTAATCTTGCCCTGATGTTCCTTCTGGACAGCAAAGGTTTCTTCCTGGCACACTTCCCACACAAATCTAATTTGTGCAGCTTCTTTCTACTGGTAGATTCATGCACTTTGACAGCAGTAGTGGCAAGAGCTACCTGTTGGTCGCGTGATGGAATTCTGGAGTCCTTAGAGACTTCTTTCAACATCTTGCATTCTGCTCTCGGGCTGAACTTGCTGGGATGGCCTGGCCCGGGCATGCTGGCAGTTGTTTGAAATCTTCTCCACTTGTAGATGATCTTCCAGGCAGTGGAATAACTGATGTCTAATTATCTGGCAGCTATTTTTAAGATCCTTCCCAGACTCCTAGGCATCTCTAGCCACTTTTCTGAAGGCCTCTTTCAATCTAGGCATGGTGATAGCACCCACTTCAACAACAAAGAACAAAGCAAAGTAAATCTTTGAGGTTTCAATAAGGCAGGTTCCAACCAGATCCTCTCTAACAATATTCTAATCATCTGCACCTGATCTGGTGTACCTGATTCTAATTTTAGGTATTTGAGGTAGTGATAAATGTAAGGGGGTACTTACTTTTTCCACATGCAAAATTTGCATTTATGTTTATTTAAATTACACAATGGTCTACAAATTCTAAATGGTGCATGATATTTTATCCCCTCTATCTGTCGGTATTGCTGAGATGCAGATCAAATATCTGTATGGTGAAATAAGTTGAAGTCAAAAATTTTGATGGGATATATTTATTTTTTCACATGACTGTATGCATGGGGGGTAGATATCATCTCATTCTGTTGATGGCTTTACTTTCCCATTTGAAAGAATACTAACATACTGTTTTGAATATATATGACCCATGCTATAAATCAAAGCAGTACTTAGGAAGAATTTTGATGTGAAATTATTGCAGATGTTCCTTTGCACGGTTTGCTAACTATTTTAAAATACCAAGTTCCATCATTAGTACAGGCAGAGGAAAAGTACATTGTGATAGGTGGCATTCATTTGCTGTTTAGAGATGTAATTTGTGCACAGCATAGGGCTTTGTCTGCATCTGGTATACAGCTGAATTCATACTTTGGTTTTATTATATTTATAGGAACATTTGCATATTTATTACATTTCCACAGTCATTTGCTTCCCAATCATTTTTCTGATATGTCAGTATTTCTAATCCAACATGCTGAAGATTCCTATAAATAGCAGTGAAAAAAGGGAAAGGTACATTTTGTTGGAATAGAGCTGCTGACTTCAAATAAACATGTCAGTCTTTGACTTGTAACCAAGAAGCACTACCTGAAGGATTCAGAAAAATAAAGCAACTGGCACATAGTATATATATTCTATTCCCTAAGCTGGCAGATAGCTAAAGATGCCAACATAAAAAAGAAACTTCTTAAACATTAGATGAATTGCGAGGTCAAATGCAGAATTTCATCCCCGCAAACTCTATGGGGTTTCCAGTGAGGAAGAATAACAGTGCTCCTGATGGCAGTCCAAACTGAGACATTTAGATCATAGATAGTGGAAAACACAAAGAATTTATAATGGAATGAAGATACTGGCTGTAGGCCAATGATTTATTATTCTATATTTTAAATGACAAGGACTGAAGATTGTCTCATAGTTTCAGTTCCTTAGTGAAGTTATGTCAGGATAGCTAGATACTACATGCATTTTTATTAAGGGATTCGGACTAATTTAGGAATCACAACAAATAAAAAAGAAATAATGTATATTATTTATTTATTAATTGGGAACTTTTTTCTTCTCTGTTTAATTAGATGGATTCCCACAGTAACTTATTTTGTTCATATCACTTGTTTGAGGCCTTCCTCTTTCCTTTTTCAGGTCCCATAAATCATCTGGCTGGAACAGCGCTCCCAGCGATCATAACAGTATGAGTGATTCTCAGTTCCTTTTTGGCTCCCAGTTCTGCCCAGAGAATTCACAGTGTGCATCAGCCCCAGTTGAACTCAGTATCCAGCAAAGACAGGACAAGAGTTCACAACAAAATTCTCAGGAGGTGAGTCCAGTGCGTGATGTATGCTGGTACTACACAGCCTCAATAGTCAAAATTAGGGTATGATGATATTCCTTCTGCAAAAGCTGGATGTTAAATATTAGACTCACAACAATCCAATGAGGCAGAATAGGATAAGAGTTACAAGACCCAAGATCCCGGCACGAACTTTCCTACTGATCAGTGGGATTTCAGTCTTTTTTTTAAATTGTGCATTGCAAATATTGTTGGATAGTTCTTCGTTTTGAAATGAATAGTTTATCGTAGTAAGCATGTCTGATACACCATAGATAAAAACAGAACAATGTTTTTGTTTCTTTTCTCGCCTAAGAAATATTGATATCTAATTTCTTATTTTCTTCGGAATATTCTAAATGGGCATCAAAAGCCATGGTAGCTAATCAGAACTTTTGAGAGAGGCTGCATTTGCGCCACAGTTTAGCACAAGAGTTGAGCAGGAACAAGCTGCAGAAAGCCTCGTGCTGTTTTCTTTCCCTGATGTGGTTGGGAGAAGGGTGGAACTTCTGTTTCTGCTTTTGATTAACTTTGATGGGTGGAAGTAATTACTGATTAATGTGTGGTTTATTTATCATAAATAATCTTAACTATGGTTAGCTTAAGCATGCCAGCTTCAGTACTGATGATTCCGTGTTACTTCCTTGAGCCTAACGTTAGTTAATGTTAGCTACAATTTGTCATATGTTGTACTAAACAGTTTGTCAACTGCTGTTGTAAACAGTAAAGCAGAAGCTTCCATGTTTTTTATCCTAGCCACACACAAAAGGGGATGGAGGTGGGATAGGGAGAATACATATCTGAGCCAGAAGCTTGGAGAAACTTGTAGTACCTTATTGCATCACACTAAAGTACAGTTTACTCTGACATTTGAATATAATTACAATATGCCAGTGAATCCAAGTTGTTGGAATGCAAAGCTAGAACACACTTTCATGCTTCCTTATGGGCTTCCTAGAGATATCAGATTGAATCAGGTAAGAACTAGGATGCAGTATTAGAGCAACTTTTAATTTAATCAATTAGGCTGCTATGGTATAACTTTCATGTTACCCAAAATTTCTGGCAAATTTCATAGAGCTTGTGACGGAAGTGACAAGATTTGTATGTTTTTCATTACAAACCAATACCTTTAAATAGGCAGTAAAGGAACAACATTTGCCTGCGTGCCATCATCTGGCACTTTGCATAAGGTTCAGGTAGGCTGTCAGTTGGCTCCTTTAGTACTCTAGGATGCATTTAATTTAGCCCTGGATATTAGTTACCATAAGAAATTTCTGACTGAATGGGGGAGTAAATATTTTTGAAAAAATGCAATTCTACCCAGTGCACCCACTCATAAAAGTATATTTATCAGCGATTGAATGCCACTGATTTGTTCTTTTCTTAATTTATGTTAAACACTCATATTTTTCATTTTTCCTGATAAAAACAGAACGAACTCAGTATTTTTGCCAAATACCAGTCTAAACCACAGCTCTTTGGAAGAGAGGAAAAGGAAAATGTCTCCCTTAATAATCTTGCTGGAAGATTCAAAGGTGTCTTGGAGCAATTTGAACAGAATAAGAAAAAGATCAAGGAAAAATATGATAAGTATGCAAACCCTTTCTTCCAGCTGAGAAATTAATTTCTTTCCTCCTGTTAAAAACAACAATACTGTACAACTATACAAGAAATAGTTAATGATTCTTAAAGTATTGTGTGTATATATGTATGTTTTATATTTGATATAGTCCCTGTCTTTCTATTCAAGTGAGTACTCTGGCCCACTAACAAAATTTTAAAAACAGAACAAAAGACAGAATTTAAAAAGTTAAACTAAACTGCCTATTAAAGAGATATTCAGGTAGTCTTCACTTACCGACTGCAGTAGGGACCAGCGACTCTATCACTAAGCAGTGCAGTCATTAAGCTGATGTCACGTGACCATGCTGACTTACGATGTCAGTTTCGGCTGCAGTCATTAAGTGAATCACTGCAGGTTGTTAAGCACGAGTTGTGACTTCCTGCCAGTGATTCCTCATTGACTTTGCTTGTCGGAAGCCAGCTGTGAAGGTCACAAATGGCGATCATGTGACTGGGAGTTGCTGCGACCATCTTAAATGTGCACTGGTTGCCAAATACCCAGATCATGATCATGTGACTGCAGGGATGCTCAAACGGCTGCAATGAGGAGGACCAGTCATAAGTCTTTGTAAGTCATTGTACTTTGAACAGTCTCTAGATGAGTGGTCAGTAAGCAAGGATTACCTGTACTGTATCTTTATAGGTTTTCAAAGTGCAGATAGAGAGGCCAAGCACAGCTCCCAGATTCCAGGGAGTGCATTGCACTGTGGAAGAAAACATTCTTCTGCACAACAAGTTCTTTGAAAAAGGGTGCATCTTCAAGAGGGTATTTTATGTCATTTGAGTTTGGATGAGAAACTGTCTGCTAGGAAGATCCACACTGAAATAGTCTTTATAGTTACAGAGAATGAAAATCCCATGGCAGCAGAAATGCTGCAGGACAGAGAGATGATTATTTGGAGGGATCCAATTTACAGATGGTGAACTGATATGTTTTTGTGTCAAAGATACCCTCTGGGATGGGCATTTGTCCTCGTAACAAGTTAATCATCAGAAACAGAGACCTGGATATGCTGTGACATTGGCTTGTTGATTTCATTGTGGTGCCTTGCCTACTTAATATAAAAGCTTAGGCTTCATATACTGGACACTAATTAATTAGATGGGGAAAAGGTGGATTTAGTGGCATGAGACATATCAACATCCGTCTCAATGCAAAATATTAAAGGAAGCCCTGGAGGTTAAATTCAAGTTGCTAAACTAGTTTCTTGTACTGTCTAATTTAATTGTTCTCTGCAGAATCTCCAGGAGGTAAATCTTGCATTGCAAGGATGGTTTCAATCTTTTCAAAAGCTGGACTTGAACCTATGTAATTTGCTTCATATTTGTCTTGTGTTGCATAAACGTGTTAGGCAGCTCCTGTTGCTGTTCCCTGTCAGCTTTATATTGCAGTAGAATATCTTCCACCCATGGATATTCCCTTACAAAACAGCAATTCCTTCCACACAAAGAACAGCTCTATACAAGAGGCACCGGAATAATTCAGAAGCCATTCTGAACTCACCTAACCCAATTACATTGGCTGATTTGGAGAGCTACATTTACTTATTTCTGACTTTGCACTGGGTTACTTGAAATTGAGCAAAGTTGATTTTTCCCTTTGTGATGCAGCAGATCTGCATAGGTTGTGGGTGGGCCACCTGCACTGCCCTGTCTCTAGGGTTAAACTAGCCATTGTACTCTCACCACGACTCCTGAGGTGTTCAGCATCCTGTGTCTTTTGCCGGTCTTTAGAATTGTTTAAAAGATTCCCTCCTTTTCCCCATTTCAGTCACAGCAGCATCATGCAACAGTGGCTGAAATTATTTGAAAAAGGACTGACATCCTGTGATTTTATCTTTACTGCCTGCAAAAAGCTTTTAAATGTGAGAGGAATGGTGTCTTTGCAACCGGGAAGTTTTCATCCTGGCTTGCTTGCTTATTTATTTATTTATGCTGACTACCAAATACATACACATGCATTGAAAATATGCTCTAGGATCAGTAGTAAGTTGGGGGGGGGACACTCACTAAATCACGTTTTTGCACTTTCCTATTGCTCAATTAGAAGGTAAGAATTGATTGGGTTATTGTATTCCCTGGATGTTTTCAGTGTTTTCAGATCTGCAGAAGTTAGAAAGATTGAGGGTCAAATTTAAACAGTTTCTGAGGAATTGGAGATAGGAAATGCTGTATGTGAAAATGCTTGTAAACATTAGTATAGGCATGATACAGAGAATTAAGTGAGCTCATTGGTTCTGTTTATCTCTTCTTGTTACATTCTGAATTTAATTAATCTGGCTGGTTAAAATAATAATTTATACAATTGCTAGCATCTCTGCTTTAGTGCTAGCCATCTGTCAGCATTTCAGAAAGACAAGTCAACTTGGGATTCTTACTAATGGAATTTATTTGACTGTAAAAGTGAAAGTTTCATAAACATTTTAATGTTGAATTAACGCATTTTCAACCTACATATTACTGTATATTGCATACACCGTATCGTGAGATTTTCCTAGCTTTTCCTATCCATTTGCATCTGATTAATGTACATATAAAGTTTGTAATTCCTGAATATTTCCCTTTCAGTGATATTTTAAATGCTTTTATTTTGAACACCAAAGAGAGTCTTCAAAGGGTAAGTGAATCCAAATTGAAAGTTGAAAGTAGGGGTGGGAAAGTTGCAGTACATATTTTGTCTTTTTTATTACTATATGATAAAATATAATTGCAACTTCTCTATAGATGCTTTTTAATTCAGCTGAAAACACTGAATACTCAGAAAACATTATAAAGGGAACGAATACACACCAGCCAGCAAAACTATTCATTAATTTATTTTTCAGTTGCAATCCTCCTTCAATATGTTAGAAGAAACTCTGAAATCTATTTTGAATGATTTGGGAAATGTTTCTAAGACAAGTAAGTACATAGAATATTTCTGTAACCAAGAGAAAATAAGATCAACTGACATCCATTCCACTATGGGAGAAATGGCTTTCTCTGGATAATAATGATTCAGTCAGGAAAGAAGGTTGCTGAAAAATTCCTGAAAGACTGGGCTAGCAATACCCATTGCTCTTGTATACTATTGTATGCTATATCTCAAATAAGAGATAGCATACCTTAAATAATAGCTGCTGGGGAGAGGCATTGAAAAAGACCTGTTTCGATACTTGTCTGTGTTTCTCAGCTTCCCAAATATATCTTGTTGGTCATTGTGTGATACAGAATGCTGGACATTTTGCCTGATCCAGCAAGGCTGTATTTTTGTATTCTTACCAGAAGAATGCTATGCAGATACAAGAAAGATGGTCTTATGAACCATGATTTTCCAACATAAAATATCTAAATTAAAAAGGAGTGACTGGCATCTATATTACATTATTTTCTGTGAGAGGTTGTTTTCATATGGTTAGGCCATATGAATAATTTAATGAATGTTTTATTCTGTCCTGCTTTAGTTGCTAACTCATTCATTGTTAATATTATATTTTAATGCTTACCTGAATATCTATTTATTGCTTATTATGGTCAAGACCAGTCGACATTACAGAAAAATACAAGATACTAAGCAGTGGAACAAGTAAAATATTTCAGAGATAATCAAAGTAGCATGCGTGAGGACCATGAAAATATCTAAAATATTAGGCAAGGAGAATTGTGAGAGGTATCATAGCTTACTTTCTGGAAGCTATATTTGCTCATCACACACTATCTTGCAACTGCAGTTCTTTGTTTTCTCCAAATCACTCACACAACTATAAAGCACTTTGGTAAATAAAGCATTCTGTTTAGATAGTAAACACTAAAAGTGATTCACTGCAAAAGCCTTACTTCCCCCACTTGGCCATCTGGAATTCTTCCTACGCTTCCTCGTTCCTTTTTTTTTTTTTTTCAGTAGTTATCTTGGAACAAATCCCAGTCTTCTTTTTAGTTCTCGAAGTTCTGGAAAAGTACACTTGACATTTACCACAACAAATCACATAGCAGAATATTATATGCATGATGAAAATGAGTCTGCCATTTTCAATATATTGCATTCTCCATCCACATTGATTCATCTTTGTAAGACTGACTGCTAATAAATACTGCTGTTTGACTGGGTTCACAGTCATGGTTAATTATCTTCCCACCATCTAAATAACCATGATGGATTCTTGGAAAGATACTGTGTTTTCTTTTAAAGCCCAATGTCTGGCCTTCTGCTTTTGGTTCATAAGTTAAGTTTTCCCTCAACAAACATATTTAAGAATGTAGCTGTCCCCTGAAATTTTGGGGGGAAATGTATATATTCCTTTTTTATTGGTCAGTAGAAAAGCAGCAGTGAATGAACTGGTATATTGGATTTCACAGTGCATCAGATGGGCAATGTCCAAGTCCCTAGTTGTTATGAATAGAGCAATTCTGTTTTGAAATTATGGCCTCTTATGAAGAAGGCAATGGTTTAGCTTCTGATTTAGAGTTGCTGTTTTGGGAAAAACAGATATACATGTCATAGCTAAACAAGCTCTGCTGTCTATTTTTGGCTGTGTGTTTGTGCAGTTCTTCAGCTACTGAATAATTGCATAGACATGCACCATTGATGTAGCACAGTAGGAACAATGTTATAATAAAGGCTTCAGAAGACATTTAAGCACTCCATGCTGCTGGGCATAGTTGTCTATTCACTACCAGAGCTTACAGCAAAGCTATATAGATCGCTTAATCATTTAAATTAAAAAAAAAAGACTGATATTTCCTGGCCATAGAAATCACCATGAATACTGTATATACTGTAGATCTGCTTAGTTATTTAAACTAACTGTAACAGCATAGCTGAGCCTGCAGGGTGGAAGAATTGAGATCTCAAATATTTTCTCTTCATATCCTGGCCCTGCCTCCCTGGGGTAGTGGCTTGTAGTTCTTGCTACCATCATTTATTTTCTAGGGGGTACCTCATGTGGAGCCCATTGGAGCTGGGTGGCTTATAAATTCAAATAATAAATAAATAAATCCTTCTCCTAACACTGGTATGTGAGAGAGGTAGGATTGCTACAATCCTGTGTGGTTGTTTTTTGGCAAATTAAGAGGGAAACATTATAAATAAAAATAAATGCTATAGTGCTACCTCTTGACTTTGTAGCACTGAAGCATATAGCTAAGGGGATCAGCCCTTCTTCTCCCTCTCCTTTGGGAGACGGACCAATCTCACAAGAGATAAATAAAATCAAACTACATTTTTAAAAGTATATAAAACTCCCTTTTTAGCTTTAAGTAGCCACATAAAAATATTCATTGGCAAAGGAGATAAAAATATAAAGCTGTACTTGTCCTTGCAGCTGGCCAGGGCCAGCCCATAATATTTAGAAAGATCTCATTTCTGCCTTATTTGCTTCTGCCTTCTTTATCTTCTACTCCTCTTATGGCAATGCTTTGTTTCCTACTTCAATAAAGAACTGTAAAACATGCTGTATTCAAACATTTTAACTTAAGTAACCAAGTTCAGTTTGGAGAAGCTGAAGGATTGGTAATTAATCAGCTCGGATTCCCACCATTCATGTAAGTGCTATGAGACACAGGACAGTGGTGCCAGTCTCAGACTAGTGCCACCATACATGTGAAAGGGGCTGGAATCAACTCATTGGTGCATCAAAACCACTGATCTTCTTTGTGCTGATTGGCAGCAACTCTTCAGTATTTCAAACTGTTTACCAGAATCCTTAATGGAGGTTTTTGAGATCGATCTTACACCAAAGCAAGTGCTCTTCCATTTATATAGGCCTCTCCTACTTTAATAAAATATCACCCTTAATATCTTTCTTGGCATCACTGTGTTAAAAGATCACATTTATGTTGGTCCAAGATGGGAAGACTATGCTTCTAAATCAAACATAGCTAGCTTTTTTATTGCTCATGAACGTTTTGTTAAGAATAAACAGTGGACAGCTAAAAGGGCTTACGAGGACCATTGAAATGCTTTTTTGAGAGTTATATAATGTTCCCAAACTGCATAATGCCAAAGCATGTACATTTTTTCTAGTCCTCTGAAAATATTTGCTGAAAAACTATATATTGAATTACATTGCCCAAAGAATTTTTGAGAATTCCAATAAAAAATTTAAGATTCCCATTAAAGGAATCTTAAAATAAAACATGAGACCTGGTATTCAGATGCAGGAATCTGAGAAAATGGGTGGATTTTGTTTAAATATTTTTAGAAGCCAGACTAAGGGTACCAATACTCCTGCTGCCTAAACTAATAAGCTCAAGAGAAATCATATGAGCTATTAGTGAAGGGTCAATCACTCAGCAGTAGTCATTTTAGGATGGAAAAAAAAATGGCATCCTCTTTTCAGCTGTAGTCTTGTGCAATAATGTAATATCCATTAATAAGAATAATTGCAGTGGATGAAAAGAACTTTTTATTCAAGGAAGTTTGACTTAGATATAATAGCTAGCCATTCATTTTTGAGGACACTTCTGCTTTTTTTGTAGTTTTTGAACAAGGTTAAATAAGGTCAAGTAATATGCTCAGTAGCAATTGCAACATCAGTGACAGATCTAACTGCTTCTACATAAGATCTACAAAACTAATAATGGAAAATGCTAGCTTTGTAATCATTTAAAAGGCAGTTTTATTTACATGTTCGCATTCTTCAAGAGTAATGACCTTTTGGGAAATGGTAATAAATTCAATTCAAAGGATGAATTGTGTAATACTCTAACATCTACTCGGTTGCCATCTGAACGAATAAGTGGCATTGTGTAAATAAAAGATTGGGAAGAGCAGCGTAGACATTTTGCAAAATACTGGAAAGATTCAGCAGCCCCATGAATACAAACGGATCAAATGGATAGGAAAGGTACAGACTGTATTAAAAATATAAAATGGATGATATAAAGGAAAACAAGGTGTATAAGGGACATTCAGTTTCCTGACAAAGATATCTGTTAGTACTGGCTATATACATGTGTGTGTTTTTTCCAACTGATTTTAATCCTCTTAGCCCAAAGCCCAAGGTAATATTAATTGGTTTTCCTTTTATTCTCAGATAAACCTATCATGTTGGGCAGGTTAGAAATGGTGATGGCTCAATTTCACCCACAACTGAATAGTAGCCTCATCCTAGATTTTCTTCTTCTATTCCAAGGGCACATAGTTTTATCTGGATTAAGCTTCAAGGGGTCTACCTTCAGTTCTTCTTAGTGGAAATTTTGTCTGCCAGTTGTTACCCAAATTGCTGCAGATAGCAATATCTAATTTGAAGTTCTTGTGAAAATGTTTGATGTATTTCATTGTTACAAACTGGGAGGGGAAATAATTTAAAACCATTGTGGAAGTCGTCTTCCAAGGGTCCCCCAATAAAAGATAATAGATTGACACTAATCAAACTGAACCTCTTGACACGCCCTAGACAGTCGACCTGAGTTCTTAGCTGTTCTATCCAGGGCTTCTCCCTTCAGCCCAAAGTTGGGAAAATAGAAGGCAAAGTGTTTTTGGTCTTCCTGCCCCAAATCCAGAATTACAGAACTTAACAACCATATGCCGATCCTGAAATGAGAAATTCTCTTATAAAACAAATGAAGCCAAATTTCTAGAGATGAAGAAGAATTGTTTGGGGAAAAGGGAATATACAGTGAAAACAAGGGAAGGCAACAATCACACACAAACTCCAGATAAAACCAATATAAGCCTAGCCAGCTAGGTACATTACTTCCTCAAATAAACTCTTGGGCTTCAGTAGATTTTTTTTTCAGAGAGGATGGTTGAATAGAGATCACTGACCTACCGGTTGAATTCATAGGCAGGCTGTTACTTCTTTTCTTTCTTATTTTCTCTTGCCTGTTCTCTGAGCACTTCTCCCTGGTTTCATACAATATGTAAAAGCCCCACTCTTTGGAGAGACTGATTGTTGCTTCATCCCAGTCAAGGATAGTTTTCCAGTTCAGATGTTCTAATAAGCTAATTCCTAAACATACATTCCTAACAACGCTTGATGGAATTATAAAGGCACAGTCTTTATAACTTCCATCAGCTCTTCCTTTGAATAAATGGGAGTAAATTGAAGAAGTACTTGGGAATTCAAAACTGAATTCCATCCGTTCAGTTCTCTCAGCATAGGGCCAATTCATTAAATAACTTAGGGAGCACTGTGAGGCCATACCAAAACTAGGAGTCTGTCTTACCCAATTAGAACTGAACCATGCATTTGAAAATGCACACTCAGTAATTGAAATCAGAATTGTCCTTTTCACTTAGCTGGAGCTGGAGCTGGAGCTGGAGCTATTCCCTTGGTAATAATACCATTGGCAATGCATTTATCTTCTGGTTGTAGCAAATTAGGATCTGGGTTTTCTGAGAAAACTGAAATGTGATATACAATGGAATATGAGTATCCATTATGTCCACTCAACTTTGTTATCTATATTCCACAAGCAGGCAAGATTTTAGAAAACATTCCACTTGATGCAAGAACCAAATAGTGGTGGTTGTCCACCTCCTGCCTTAGTCATTAGAGCAGATGTGGCATGATGAGGGGAATTGGATTGAGTTCTGTATACCATGCTCATGGGCATTATCCCAATTATTACTCCCTCGAAGAGCTGGCTCCTCTCCCAAGCTTTCGGTTAAGGTGTAGGTGGAGCTCAGTAACTGTAAATGTGGATGTATGGAGGAGTGTTTTGGGGCTGCTGGGAATGGTCTTTTCGATGTTGGTTTTATTGTTTCCGTTTACATTTTTATTGCTGTTTTTGTGAGCTGCTCAGGGTTACTGTATGTAAGATGGGCAGCCATATAAGTTCTTTAAATAAATACTGTAAATACAGTATGGAAGGTTCTCCAGAACCTACAGCTTGAGAAATTTCAAAATGTTACTCCAAGAAAGTATTCTCCTTTGATTCTGTGAGTATGCCAGAATCTCCCAGGCTGAATATTCTGGAATATGCCTCATGAGTGGAAGAGAACAGGAAGGCACAGTAAATTCTGCATTTGAAGAGAGAGATGTAGAAATTATCAAAGCCTATTTTCCTTACGTGTAATCAATAAATGAGATTTAAGACAAAAGCAACCAAGTGGTTAGAATGAGTCAATTTTCATTGCGCAAAGTATCATGAGAGTCTCTCTTTAAATACTAACACGATTATTATCACATTAGCTTTTGTAGATCCCAGTCCACTTCATCAGATGTGTGTGAGGCTTTAACTACTTACAGTTGTGGGATGAGAAGAGAAGTGGGAAGATAAAGGGTATGGAGGAAAGAGGCAGAATTGTTTTGAGGTTGGAGGGTTGAAGGATAAAATTAGTTTGGATGTTGATTATGAGTAACAATAAAGTAACAAAAAAGTATTATTTCAAGAAGGTTATCCTTGTCAGGTCATTATAGCAAAAGTTACTTCACAGACCAGATTAAAATGACAACATACCATTCTTAAAGTATTTTAGTTAATTTAATGCCAAATCAAATAGCATTGTGTAAATTTTCCAGCCCTCTGTCTGTGTTAAACGTTATATCTACTTCATAATCTATGGGAACCTCATGATTGTGTCACTAAAATGTACTGTTTCAATCCAATTCCATTGAAAAATCTGGAATGGCATTTTATCCATATATACGGATGACAGAATAAATGTGGTTTGTATTGATTTCTGTGTCTAGTGCAAGAAACCTCTCAGTCCCATTATGGATTGTTACTGAATGCCCTTGGTGAGAAAAATGAAATGGGACAGATATTACTGGGAATGGAGAAAAGGCTGCAAGAAGTAAGTGTGAAATTGTTCTTTAGTAAGATGAAATTTGTTCTAGCTTCACTTTCTCTTCAGAAGATACAGTCTATTTATCAGGTTGTCTTCGGAGACACATCCATATGTTATGTTATATCATATGTTATGAAATAATCATAATCTTTCTGGGTGTTAGAGACTATTTCTGCAAATCAAAATCTAAAGTTCCAAAAGCTGCATGTTTGCCATGATTGATGGCCTGTTGGTAGAATACATTTTAAAAATTACATGATCATACAATACATGTACCACAAATTATTTCACAGAATTTAACTTATAGAAGTAATGGGAAATTCTTATCTTTATTTAATCCTGTATCTAGATTCTTTTTTCAGCTAGTGAGAAAGAAAGAAAGAAAGAAAGAAAGAAAGAAAGAAAGAAAGAAAGAAAGAAAGAAAGAAAGAAAGAAAGAAAAAACTGATATATTCTTTGGAATTTATTTGATTGGATGAAAACAGTTCAATTTTGCTATGATATAATTATCTGCCTAATATTAAAGATGTACAATTGGTTGCTTAGATGCCAAATCTGCCTATAATAGAAGCTCTCAGAAGCTATACCACATAGGTTTGCTGGGAAAATATGACTTAATGGAAACAAGGATAGCTCTGCAAATAAATCCAGGAAAGTTATGAGCTTACTAAGGTTTGGTTCATTAATATCTGTGTCATGCTGATGACTTAATAAATTTACATTCTTTGCCTGGTTTGAATTTACATAATTCTTACCTTGTACATAATCAGGTTAGAGGCTCTTTTAAGACAAAGAAGAAGACTGCTGTCTCTAAAAAAATCCTTGTTGCTAACATTTTCCCTTCCATTAGCAGAACAAAATATTTTGCCGCGGGGTTGTAATATAGCACTTTGAAAACAGCCAAGAAGCTGATATGGGTTAATAAGGGTCTTGGCATTTGGGAAATCAATTAGGGTCACAAAGGGACCCCAAATCATAATCTTTTTTTATGGATGTCAGCTTTGAAAACTTTACCACTGAGAAATTATATTTTTAATATTTTAGGTTCCTCAGTGGTAAAGTTTTGAAAGCTGACATCTATAACAAATATCATGGTTATTTAACTCTCCAGAGGGCCCTTACAGCATATTAAAAGATGAAACTACATTATTTCATGTTACAGACAATAAAATCACAGGACTGTATCCAGATGTCCATCCTCTATCTTTGCTTTCAAGAATTGCAGAGCCCTCTGAGGACATGTGGGGTATAAGTGGAAAGAAAGTAAGATAATGTTGCTTTGCACAAGTTATAGTCCTCTTATATGACACTCGACATAACCCACAGTTGATAAAACCCTAAGGGAAAAAATATGGCATTTGTGATACATGGGAAATTCAAAGTAGGAAATCAGTTGTCTGTTTCATGATATAGTGAAAGTTGTACAAATGTTAGGTACAGTTCATGTGCTTTGAAGGTAGTGCGTGTTTGGCTTCAAAGCATAACAAGGAACACTTCGTATGTATCACCTATATTTAAAAATACATACCTACTTCCCCCACACATTACAGGGAAAACATAACGTGTGAAATGCCCTTCAATTGGAGAGGAAAGCTTAATAAAGTATATGCAGTATAGTATTTGAAATGTAAGCATTTGATTTGTAACCCATCTTGCCCAATTTCTCTGCTGTTATGTGTCCACAGAAGGACACAGAAATCTCAGATCTGAAGTCCAGCCTTCAGTTACTAAAAGATAGCCTTGAGCAATTAACAGTTCAGCAGAACAAGCAGCACATGAAGCTCTGTGAACAGCTGGACCCCATGAGGCTTTCCAAAATCCTGAATGACTTACAAGCATTCATTTCTGCACCCAGAGAACCCCATCACCTCAAGGACAGTGTTTCCCAGACTTCTCTAGACATGCTGTTGAACCAATTATCTTACAGTTCCCACTTGGATGTTTTAAACATCTCTCCTAGAAACAAAGACATTTCTAATAAGGCTGCCTCAGAAAGTAAAGAAAATTTCCACACAGAGCAGAGAAGCCATATTCTAGCCCGAGGCCCAAATGCTGACAAAATGCTTTGCACCTGTTGCTCCAACGTTACTCTCCTTGCAAAAAGCCGAGAGAGAAACTGGTTACTGAGTCAAGAGCCCAATGAAGCTACTCCAGTGAGGAAAGTGATCCAGAGAAACAACCAAGCAAAAGGATACAGTGGAACAAAACATTCACAGCTAAGCCATCCTCAAATGGAAAATGTGCTCGTGCGAAATCATGCAGATGGCGGGAACAGCGAGAAACTAGTCACAGGCAAGAAGATGAATAGTAAAGGTATAGGAAACAGAGTTAGACAGGGAAAGCCAAGATTGTGCAGCCAGAGGAAAAGAATGTATTCTGCCAGGAAAGAAAATGGTTTGAAATATACTAGAGAAAACAAGAAACAAGAAGCAACAGGAAAAGGGTATTCCAATGCAGAATACTCACATAGGGAAATGAGGGAATCTGATAGTATTAGCTGGAGGCCTCTGATCGTGAGTGAGAAAAAGATAGGTAAGGTCCAAGAGAGAAAGGCAAAGAAATCCAAGCTCGTGCTCCTCTCCCATGAGAACAAACAGCCCGTGCCCAGTCTCCACGAGAGGACTGGTGCTAGAAAGAGGGAAGTTTCCAAGGGCAACCATTGCTTCTGCTCCTCTCCAGAAAGTTCCTTTCCCCAAACCCAGATAAAGTGGCTGGATCTTTTTGATAATTACCCCCTGAGTCCACTCCCCAAGAATGCCACAGCCTGTTGCCAATTGTTTTTTGATAGTGAGTATTCTGATTAAAAGTGGCCTGTATGTATTACCTGCTATGGAATTGTCCTTGTAAAACGTTACCAAAAAATTCCCTTTGTATATTGTAAATAGTAATTCTAACATCCTCCTGGATCTCCCACTACCACCACCACTGAAGAGTTGTTTTATGTTGTGGCATTTGAGATATTCTGTATTGAAGTAGAAAAATAGAGCATATATCATTTAATTTCCCTGCAGGTCTGGAGATGGGAAGGGATGTGTATGACTCTTTTATAAAGTCAAAAGTTGTTTTCTCCAGTATGTCTGTATTGGCTCTTTGCTTTTTGCCTTCTCCCCAAAAATGTAATTTTTCCCCACTGTTGTTATGAATTTATTAGTATGGTTGTGAGCAGAGGAACGAATAATGTTTGATTTATAATACAGCATACAGTACCTATTTGAGAAATGTGTTATTAAACCTGTACGATAAATGTTCCGTGGATTCTGGCCTCGGTTCTGAGACTGGGAAGATTCTCGCAACTGGCTCTGCTGATATGATGAATATCCTGATGCTGCTGTATGTGGAAAGCAGGTCCCGGGTGACTTGATGTGTTATTTGATTACAGAGACTTGGGGCTCATCTACACCTTCTGCCTGCCTTGTGGTAAAGATGCTCCACAAGCTACTTGTTGGGGACATGAAGGCACAGCAGCCCCAGAGCTCTGTGAAGGCTTCAGAAGTGGTGTTTTTTCATTTCCACTGGAACAAGCCACGCCAGGCAGTCAATCTGTGGCAAAATATTCTGAGGTACACTTAGGAGAGGAATCTGCCCTGTTCCTATTGACCACCTGAGTCCTGACTGTAGGCATGCCCTCCCATTCTCCATCTCTGGAGCCATTTGAGTTGCCAGGACCCCAGGGGGAGAGTCTTCTACGTGCCAAAAAGCTGTCTCTCCCACATCTCTTGCCAACCAGTGGCAGGGAGAGAAGGAGGGGAAGTGGGCTGTTTGATGCCAGCCCTCCAGGCACACTGGATATGGGTTTCATGCCCTGAAGCTTCTCATGCAGCGCTATTCAGCACCATTCTACCAAAGCTAGGGAGCAGTTTAAGGCAGAGGAGCATGAAAGCCAAGAGAAGTGACTTTGGATCTTGCACTGCAGGGGGTACAGCTTGCAGAGTTGATTCCTTGGGTGCTCTGCAGCCCTCGCTCCTTCAAGAAAGGGTGAGAATCCTTTCCCCCCCTCCTTTTCCCTGTTTTATTTTCATCCACGGTAACCAAAGGGTGGGTCTCCTCTCTTCCCACCTCCCACAAGAAGGAGGGAGAGTACTGGGGAGGGGAGAAACAGCGTATAATGGTTCCTTTGATGGCAGTTCTCTGATCTCACCAGACTTCTGATGCTGCTCCCAAGGAGATGTTCCTCACCCCATCTCTTTCCTCCCCCAGGTTCTCAGTGAAGACAGAGCCCCTATTCTGCTCCTGGCTAAGCCAGAACGGGGGTCCAAAGTCCAGCCAGCGCTGCACTTCTTTGAGCTGTCTTGGCATACTTTTATGCCAGCTGTCACCCTTTAGTGCTGCCCTGCAGAAGACCATTTGGTGCAGCGTGCACGAAAGTGTCAGCAACTTTGTATTTCTCACCTTGCTTTCCTGTTTGGTGTGCCATAATTGGGATTGAGGTGAGGGAGAAGAGTCTGATTCTCTCCCCAGGTGTCAGTGGAGGGATTCAAGTAATCCAGATAATTCTGGCAGCAGAGTTTTTTGTTTTTTGGGTTTTTTTTTTCATATTTGTAGCAATCAAAAGAAACTCTTGGTTTCATTAGGGAGCTTTGCGAATGAAGGCACTGCCTCTCCCACACCCTAGAAAACTGACTGGATTCAGCAGTGCTCTTCCTTTGATTAGAGCCATTCTTCTGCTGCACTTACATGCTGTTAGAGTTTAGATTACTTACTGTCTCAAAAATCGTAACTTATTTTGTATTGTCATTCTGTGGATGATCTCTGCTTTTTCAAAATCTATGCCATTTTTTACGACAGGGCAGAAAAGGCATTCTAGAAGTCATATCTTACTCCCCACCAGTACTGTGATTTGTTGGCCCCAAAGCCATTACCTTGCTCTCTACTTTACCACACAGTCCCCATGGGATGAAATTGGGATTGTTTCTCTGCACTGGCAGGCACCCCACAGCCTCAGAGATAGTGATGTCGAAGAAGCTTCTCTGGCTCACATTTTGATATACTCTCTGAGTATATATGCAAACCAGAATCCGCCGCTAATATTTACAGTTCTCCTAATTTTGCATTGTAGCTTGCAATTAAATGTATACAATGAAGAATGCATGCAATATCGATTATATTCATGAAAATTGGTTATTAAAATACCCATATTAAGAACAATGCTCATTAAATCATATTAGGAGAAATGAGCATTGAAAGATGCATGCATTTTCATGGTAATTTTAAAAATGTAATTCGACTGGGCAAGTCTTGCTGAGGTGCCTAAAGCAGAGTCCTGGGGTTTGCCTGGGATGAATTTGAGCATGTATCTCCCAAGGACCTGAAGAGGGTCCTCTGGACTGTGAATCCATTTATTAGAGCCATGTCCCTTCTGGCTTGTAAAGGCCGCTTGGGTGATGACATACTGTTGAGCGCAAGTGGTGGAACCAGTTTCCTTGAGGGAGAGGTGCTTCTGCCACCTTGAAGGAGGTACTGATCCACTCCCTTCTCAGGAAGCCAACAACGGACAATTTTAGTCCAGTCCCAACTTTCCTTTTTTAGGGAATGTTGTTGAGAAGGTGGTTGGCTGCAGATCCAGAGGATTCTGGAGAAAACAGATTTTCTGGATCCATTTCAGTCAAGTGTCAGGCCAGGGTATAATACTGAGATAGTATTAATCATGCTTGTCAATGACCTGTGGTGGTGCCAGGACAGGAGATGTGTTACTGTCCTGGTTCTCCTTGATTTCTCAGTGGCTTTTGTTACTATCAGTCATGGTATTCTTCCAGACCACCTATGGGGAATGGAAACTGGAGTGGAGGGGGACACCAGGTTACAGTGGTTCTCCTCTTTCCTCTATGGGTGGTTCCAGTTGGTGTTGGTAGGAGGGGAGAGATCAAGCCTCAGCCCCTCACTTCTGCCGCGCCTCAGAACACAATGTCTTGCCCCTTTTGTTTAACATCTACATCTCCTATGCTGGGTAAAGTGATTCATCCGTTTTGTTTGTTTGCTTGGAGAAGGGGGTAGGGGGATTTTGTATTTTCATGCAAAACTGGAGCATGAAGTCCTCAGCTACTGACCAATTGCTGAAAGCTCTTTTGATACCTTCATTCCCCTATTATCTAGGAGGGGCATACTCTGATTGTCTATCAATTCTCATTAAACATTAAAAATCATAGCACTCAAGTGGTACCTAAAATTGCTGACAACTGTCCACACAAACAATATTTCATTTCACTTCTGGTATCAGAAAACCTGAGTGGCAGAATTGCCAGTCTCTTGGAAGTGTCCCTGGCTAGCGTGGACAGAATTCCCACAAGATTACAAATCAGACCCATAGAGATGGGCAATACTTGAAAGAAAATGGAGAGAGCCAAAAGTGGAGGGTAATTGTTTAGCAGAAGTTCATTTACATTTGCCAGGCAACTCTCAGAGTTCCCAAGCCAGTGGTAGATATCCCAGACAGAAGGAAAATTGCTACTTAATTGAAATTCGCATTTCCATGGATCTTAGAATCCTATTAATGTGATTCTGCTCAGCAGGCATTCATGGCAGCCTGGGGATCAGTTTGGATTTACAAATGGCAGGTGTATCAACTTTATATCGATAATTGCATCACAACAGGGTAGCATTTAGCTAGATACGAAGCTGTGGAAGGAAAATTGTGGCTGGCCCAAAAGCAGTTGAAGGTAAGTCATGGTTGTGAGGAAAATACAAGAGGCAAAATGTACTTTCATTGGTTCACTGGATAGTATCAATATGTAGTTTAACCACTGTAAGGCACTGAACTTAGTTACGCCAAGTTGGATTTATTTATTTATTTACTTCCTTAACCTTATCGGTCACTTCAGTAAAAATGATTCTATGTGGTGTATGCTCCAAAACAGTAAACAAGGAAGATTAATAATTATTCCATAATACACAGCTATTTCCACCAGAACCCTCCATAACTGCAGATTTAGGCATTTACAGTTGCTATTTTGATCTTACGAGACCAAAAAAGTTACTGCTTCATGTGCCCCAGTCCTCCATGAGGACTCAGAGGAAGGAAAGAACAGTGCAGATAAATTCACGTTTTGAATGCTATGAGGAAAAAGAAAACCAAGCCATATTTTTAAATCTTTCCTCTTTGCTGGAAAGAACCACAAGCACCTAAGTTTGATACTCATTTTATGAGTATCAAAGGCGGTTTTAAGAAAAACAGCTTTTATCAAAGAGTTAAAATTGTGGGGCAGTTGAGTCATCTGCTATTCAAACAG